ATATTACTAATTGTTTGGTTAGAGAATAATCTTTATCAAATAAAAATTAAAATAATTAAATTTCTATCATATTCATATGCTGTTGCTTTAGGCTTTTGTCAAGGAGCACTACTCATGATCCTCGACACATTGCCATGGCTCCAAATCCTTGTGTTACTCCTATTGGTGCTGGAAGGACCGTCACATCAGGAAAAAAATATTAATAGTCCAAACTCATTCAATGATGTCCCCTCTCATGCAAATGACATGCAGATCTAGTTGCTCAGAGTCCACTAATAATTGGTCAGTTTTTTTTCTATCACTATGAATAGTGCATTATTTAATCCTGCCCAGAGTCCAATAATAAACAACTTTTAATGGATTGAGATAAGGTATTAGAGAAATACCTTTAAATGGGTTGAGCAAACTCGTCCAGATTGATGATGAAGAAGATGATATATATGATCAATATAATCATAGTTTATATAATATATGTAGATAGATTTTAAATTTCACCAATGGTATATATGATTTTCTATTCTTTATTAAAAAAAAAAAGAATTGAAAAAGGATACAGAGATTTACCAAAATGTGTAGGTGTAGTGCAACAGCTCTTCTGGATACGCAGAGAATATGGGTCTTGTTCCTCCTCTTCTTGAAGGTCCCTGTTCTCTACACCATTGCTATGCAGTTTCAGAGAATATTCCCTTAGATTTTTTGTAACTTGGTACTGTTTGTATTGAAGAGAATGTGATGTATATATAGGTGTTTAGATATAATTAAGGGTAACATTTATGGTTTTTATTATATTACCAATTACCAATTACCAATTAAAATTAGAGTTACCATTTTACATTTGCTTACCAAAAAATTATATATAGATACTTAATTTATATTTGAAAAATATATTTACCTAATTTACTTTATATACAGTAATAAGTATGTCTACACATAAATGAATAATATATAATATATAATTTCAATATTTTGATAATTAATTAAATTAAAAAATTAAGATATTATATAAATGCCGCTAAGTTTTGGGGGAAAATTTATATGGTTTTTATAATATTATTATTATTATTATTATAATTATTATTATTTTATTATGCTTACATTATTTCATAAGATTTTTATTATACTTGAACAATAATATTTTCAATTATATTATAGAATATAATACCATACATAATATTACCAATTATGTAATATAACAATTAATAGATTTTCATTTAATTTCCATTTGGCATTTACTTACCAAATAAACTTTACTACAAAAGTTTTGGAGGGAAAATTTGTTAGGAGGATTTTACTTTTATATATATATAGATATAGATATAGATTAGAGTAATTAAGGAAGACCAAACTCTTGTTTACGAGTTATAATTAATCATGGAGTGCAACCATTCAAACATATAGATAAAAACGCATAAAGAAAATTGGGAGTTTGCTCCCTTTTACGCTCGGTTCGAACCAAGAGCCCCCAAGCGAAGGGGTCGCTAAGAGACCCGAAGGTCTAACGATAATGAGACCACCAAGGTCATTGTGATCGAGATGTGACGACGAGACCGTGAAAGTCAGTCTTCTCAAGAAGCGCTTTGGCGAACGAGCTAAGTCGGTCTACTCGGAAAGCACTTGGGCTACTCGCGAAATACTTTAGCGAAGCGAATGAGCTACTCGACTGATCTACTTGGGAAATACTTTAGCGAAACGAACGTGCTACCCGACCGATCTACTCGGGAAATACATTAGCGAAGCAAACGAGCTACTCGACCGATCTACTAGGGAAATACTTTGGCGAACAAGCCGAACGCGCTACCAGTGTAGCCCCCACTCCCTTAGGTGTGAGAATCATCAGCATAAGGGAGTAGATACGACGACGGGTTCTCGAATTCGCCTTTTAACTTCGACTGCGATCGGGAAATGACCCGATCGGGCTTATAATGCCAATGCACCGGGCCATACTCCTAGCGCCGATGATCGGGAAGTGACTCGATCGAGCTCACAATCCCGGTGCACCACTGGTCGATTTGCCTAACCTGTAAGGCTTACCGATCAAGGGATCAGACCTCTAACGCGATAGAGGATTTACATGTTACCAATCGAGCGATTGGGTTTTGAGTGTGATCAGGCAATTAATCTTTACGAATCGAGAGATTGGTTTTACTCAGGATGGGATACCCGACCTCGCGGGCTCAATTGCCTATCTGGTAGGTAAAGCCGAAATATGGTCCTGACCTAGTGGTGGCAAGGCCAACCTAACCGGTCGAAAAGTGCCTACCTTGTAGGGGTTAAAGCCGGGATATGATATCGGGCCGACCAAGCCGGTGGTGGCAAGGCCAACCTAACCGGTCGAAAAAAATGCCTACCTCATAGGGCTTAAAGCCAAGATATGATCTCGGGCCAACCGAGCCGGTGGTGGCAAGGCCAACCTAACTGGTCGAAAAAATGCCTACCTTGTAGGGCTTAAAGCCAAGATATGATCTCAGGCAAACCGGGCCAGTGGTGGCAATTGACCTAACCGGACTTGATAACAAAACTGGAGCTGGAAGACCCTTGTCTTCTTCGGCCTGAATGCTAAACTGAAGGAACCTCGTCATTACTGGGGATGGCCGGAACTTATACTTTACGCAACATTGCGGTCGTATGCTCGGGCTTGTGCCCTCATCGGTGATGACCAGACTATAGTTTACGTGACATTGCAGTCGGTTGGTTGGACATGCATCAATGGACTGGTCTATTGTTTGCGCGACATTGCGGTCGTACTTAAAGTTTATGCCACATTACGGTCGTTTCTCGGGCTTGTGCTCTCATCGGTGATGACCGGCACTTAAAGTTTACACGACATTGCGGTCGTATGTTCGGGCTCAGGCCCTCTCTGGTTATGACCAGGATGACAATCAGCTCGGCAATCGATGGGCTTCTGCCGTCTTCGTCCGATTAGTCCGGAGATCAAAATTTGCCTACCCTGTAGGACTTGGTGCCAGGACTTTTCCCGGACTTAACAATGCCGATGGAGGCGGGGCCAACCTGGTCGGGCTGAAAAATGCAGGTGGTGGAAATTATCAACCTAACCGAACTTATTACAATTTAACTCTACCTATTACAATTTTACATATGTCCTGGAATACAAGCTAATATAACAAAATTACAAGGCTGGACAATTTTAATATATGTCCTCGCAAGTGCACGAGTCAATTGTAGTGGTAGTGTGCAAAGCAAGGGCCGAACTCACAGGAAATTGTACAATGCAATTTAATAACTAAAACTTAAAAAGAAATAATTGATACAATCAAAAACAGGAAAATAAGATTGCGAATGAATCAATAGCTAATAAGAAAAACGAAGCTTTAGGAAATGTAACAACGCAATTTGTAAACTAGAAAATAATTACTTAACAATTTGAAGTGCTTAGAACCAATCGACAATCAGACTTGATTTATTTAAACGAAATTGCAGGTAGAAAATAAGGCAAGAAAGATAATAAAATAACAAAGTAGCGATGGCAAAGGAATAAAGACTAGGAACATGAAATTAAAAGGTAGGATGTTTACTCGGTATTTCTCTCAAATAGATTAATAAAAATTAAATTGGCCAAATTCAACTTAATTAATATCTATACAAAACCGTAAGATAAAACTTAATTAAATTGACAACATAAGAACTCATATTAAAGCAAAACTTTTATAGTACGTATGCATGTTCATAGGCAAAACAATTAGAAATTAATCATAAGATTAGCAAATATTCAATTCCCACAGCATTAGTTTTCAATGTAAAAGATTAATTAACAACAATGAGAAATAAAGAGAAAGGAAAAAGAATTGCCGTGAGATTAGTGGTACTATTGCCCTCCAAAATTGAAGCTGCTGCTCAGATGTAATTAGCGCTGCCCCCAGACGGCATTCTGCCGCCAAGGATTCCGCACCGCCGAATGAAAGTCGCAATCAGAACTAATTCGCTGCCGCCAACCAAGAGCTGTTGCAGACCGGAAATCGCCGCCTACTAGAAAATTACCTCCGGCCGGAATTGCTGTCCGAAGTTAAATCGATGATTTTCCTCTTCGAACGTCTTCCGTATTTATATGGCTTAGACTCCAACCGCTCCTCCGTGCTTCCTCTCAGACATCACTCGCTACCGGAGAATGCTCTGTGGATCGCCTCTTTCGCAGTTCAATCGAATCGCAGGAGTGGGTTGTTGAAGAATGCCATCCAGAAGTTGCTTCGCGATTAACTCTCCGCCTCCTTTTATTTCTAATAATAATAATAAGAGTAAATACCTAAAATGGTCCCTCGACTATAGTTAAATTCATAAATTGGTCATCAACTTTTAATTTCATCCAATTAAGTCCTTAACTTTGTAGTTTTAACACAATTTGGTCCTCTGTCTATTTGACCGTTTGTTAACTGTGATTTTTGAGGATATATATGTAATTTCATGGTTCATCGTCAGTTTTTTAAGGTTCCGGTTGTATTTCCAGACCGCACTGTTACATTTGAATCCACTGTCGAAAGCAATCTACCAAACCCGATCACCTTCTTCATCCTCCCTTTGGATTCAATGTAGTTGAATTTGTACCAGAGCGAAAAAGACGACGTGTTTCCGAACCGGTGCAACGTCATTCTGGAGGCCTCCACGTGCTCCGACGAGCACTGAAGGTTCTTCTGGAGATCGTCGATCACGGTCAACAAACAGTCAATTAAATGGAGGACCAAATCGTGTCAAAATTGCAAAGTTAAGGACTTAATTGGGTGAAATTGAAAGTTGAGGACCAATTTGTGAATTTAACTATAGTCGAGGGACCATTTTGAGTATTTACTCTAATAATAATAACAATAATAATAATCATATAATATATTAATAATAATAATAATAATAATCTAATCTAATCTAATCTAATCTAATTTAATCTAATCTAATCTAATATAATCTAATCTAATCTAACTCTATAATAAAGCAAGAAGTTTTTGGCAAAAAATTTTCCCGCCCAATTGATACTACGCCGTTTTGAAAATAGAATATCTGGTTAAATTAAACGGTTTAATTAATTGCTTTTGGTCATTAATTGTTTATATAAATAGTTTAGTTGCTTTGTTGTATTACCTATGCATCTATCAGTGCGCTAATTAAATGCCTTTGAAACTTCTTATGAAATCGGGAAAACCGAAGCGTTGCATACTTTAATTACAAATTGAAGTGATTGAAATCTAATTAGAGACATCCTAATTGAAAGGTCTTTTTGTTTCAAAAACCTCTTCGTTGTTCTGTAAAAGTCCCGAATAAATTCAACCTCTATATAAAGAGGTAGAATCAGTTAAAATTCAATCACTGATTATTGCGAAGAAGTAAACCTCTGTACAAAGAAATGTCTTCTCAATAGGTTTCTGTCAAGCAAATCAGTCCAATGGTGGAGCTGAGGAGGAAGAGCTTAGGAGGAAGTTGTGAAAGAACACAGTTACTTGAAGGTTAAGGTGCGTTGATGTATGCATTTTTATTTCCTGAACAATCATCTGTCTACTTCTTGCTACGCACAACTGTGATATATAGAAATACAAAATGTAGAAATACAAAACGTAGAAATACAAAATATAGAAATAAAAATATATATGTAATATATATAGTCTTTGTTCATTCTATATGCTGCCATACTCTATAAAATGTTTATTTGTATTTTTATCATATAATCATATATATAGCCAAGGTGCAATATATAATTTCATGGATTATTGAAGAGGATGGAGATGGTTACTCTGATTAACAGTCCAAAACTTTTCAGAACACCTTAATATGAATTCTATTGCTATATTTATTTTCACTAACTCTATTTTTGTATTCTAAATTCAGCTTATGTGGTTAGCAAACCCTTTTACGTAGAGTATTGCCTCCATATCTAGCTTGAGTTTTAGTTATGACAGATTTGGGGACCATACAACTAGGAGAATGATTATTAATACAATTACTTATATTTATGAAAGGATGGAGGTAAATTTTTATTTCAGTTTTAAAAAATCTCTTACAATAAATAAAACACAAGGTCCTAAAAGTTTTGGATTCTAACATATTTCATTATCTAACTATTTGATTGGCAGTGTGGTGATTTTTGGGTTCCTGCTATGGTATAGAATCTGGAACTTTTGACAGCATCTGAGATGAAGGGGACTTGGCCTACGGTTAGTGTACACCATTTAATTCCTTTTTTTTCTCAATACTTATGAATTTCTAATCCCTTTTTAATGGTTTAGGTAATAAAAAAAGTACAGGCACAACTCTGTTGTCTACTTACTGACCTGAACAGCTTGAAGTTAATTAGTTAAGACAAGGATTTCAGTCTTAGGAGAAACTGCTGGAAGATGATTCTCAAAATGATGAAGTTTTTTGACTACTTGGTAAAGAAACTCTACAAATCAAACAGTAACTACTTGGTAATAGATATATGTTTTTGGTAATAGACTAATAGGTGTATGTTATCTATGTTGACAGTAACTTTTCTGTAACAACTTTATTTCATACAGAGTCAATATAATCATTTATCTAATTGTTCAAGATATTGTCTCTATAGTAGCAAATAAATGAATAATTGTCTTAAGTAATATTCTTTATTTTTAAGTGTTTTTGCAAGTCAACATACACAGACAAAAGTATGTCACATTTAGCAGGCTCAAATAGCTCAAGTATCACAGTTTCTACTTTTGTCCATAGGCTCAATAAAAGTTTGAATAGTCAAATAGCTCCAATATCACGGTTTCTAATTTCATTTGGCACTTTTAACTTGATTTTTTTTTTTTTTTGCATGGGATTTTATGGACTATGGTTCCTGTGGCACTGCACTACTACAAAAATACCTTTTAGCGTCGGCTATTTTGGGCATACGACGTCGGTTATTTACCGACGTAGACCTAGCAGACGTTGTAAATAAATTATACGACGTCGGTTTTTTAAAATCGACGTCATATATTATTTTTAATTTTTTAAATAAGTACAAACGACGTCGGTTTTTAATAAAAACCGACGTCGTATATATATATTTTTTAAAAATTGAGATACGACCTCGGATTTCTTAAAAAACCCGATGTTGTAAAAAATATATATATAGATACAACGTCGGTTTTTTAAAAAAACCGACGTCGAAACTATTTTTAATTTAAAAAAAAAATAAAAAAATGTATAGTGAATGGCAGCGGCATCAATTTTGACAGGCAAAGAAGAGAGATAATTTGACAACAAATGTGTAGATCTCAGCAAAGGAGTAAATCTCGCTTAAAACAAACAAAAAAAATTCAAACAACAAGAAGCATAAAAAAGAAAAAAAAATGCATATACAAGTAATTCTTAGAAGCAAAAAAAAAAAAAAAAAAAAAAACTTTTTCGGAGGATTAAAAACAACAAACCTACTATAAGCCGTAGGGAGCAATCGATCGGAGGATTCATCCATACAACTACTATAGAGCGAAGGATTCATATACGTAGGGAGAAATATCCATAGATCGGAGGATTTAAAACAACAAACCTCGTCGCCGACCGGACTTGCTACGCTCGTCACCGTACAGTCTTGGTTGCCGGTGAACTCATGTCACCACTCCAAGCTTGAAACTCGCTTGTTGCGAGAGCGTAGATCTGAGTCATCATTGTCGGAGTCGCGAGGTTTTACTGCTGTACGTAAGAACGGATGAAGGTACATCGTGACGAAGAAGACGACGCTCTGTGCGAGATTTGTACAACATGTTCGAATGGATGAAGAAGGAAGATGATGGCGTGAAACATACTCTTAGAAACTTTTGTGTTAAGAAGGTAAGAAAATATACGAGAGTAAGAAAAGATAAGACTGTAAGTGAGAGAGGCTGCGGAGATCTGATCTGTGTTAAATAAGAAAAGATACGACTGTAAGTCTTCAATTTTGTTTTTTAAAATTTATTTAGAACATACGGCGTCGGTTCTAGAGAGAACCGACGTCGTATGCCTTTAATTTCTTTTTTAAAATTTTATTTAAAACATACGGCGTCGGCTCTATAAATAATCGACGTCGTATGTCTTTAATTTCTTTTTTTTTTTTAATTTTATTTAGAACATACGGCGTCGGCTCTGTAACGAACCGACGTCGTATGTCTTTAATTTCTTTTCTTTTAAATTTATTATGAACGTACGACGTCGGTTGTATACAGAATCGACGTCGTATTTATTAAAAAAATTTAAGACATCAGTTTTTTACAATAACCGACGTCGTAAGTAATATATATTAATTTTTCTTTATTTTATTGACATATAACGTCGGTTTTTCAAAAACCGACGTTAATTAGGAGACGTAGTATCCTTTTTCTGTAGTAGTGCTGGAATAACACTATGTCTTTAATTTGTATTGACTTCTGGAAATCAACCTACAATAAAGAATTTAAATCTAAAATTAATCTACCTTAATCTACCCTAAATCTAAAATTAGTACATTGCAACTTTATATGAAATAAATAATAAGGCAGACTTTATATGAAATAAATAATAAGGCAGAATAAGGAAACAACAATCTCAGGACATTTGGAATTTTCCATTGTGATTTCTATACAGTTCAACTCTATTATGAGCATGCTTGGTTAGTAAATATGATAGGAAACAACAATCTCAGGACACATGTAGTAAAACACAAAAAACTTATTTTGTTTGGCCTGAAAAGAAATACTGAGAAAAATGTATGAATGCTGTTCATTTTTTGCTCCATTATGAATTTATGCTTATCAAAAGAACAATCAACACTTTCTATGAGAGCACATATACTACAAAGCCAAATATTTTATTCAAAGGAAAAGAACAAAGAGAAACAGTTGAACTTATTTGCAGTGACATAATACAATAATATTTTCTTATTCTAATATTTTCTAATTTTCTTTTTGTATTAATCTATTTACTTATTTATTTTAGTTACTAATTTGTTTAATTATCTATTCATATATATATATATATATGCCAAAGAATTGATCTGATGTGCACTAACAACCTGTTTTCTGTTACTAATCTGTTTGAATCTTTAAATCTGTAAGGGATGAAACCTTGATATCTGCCTACTGTCCAAACCTCAATGATAACCAAGACAAGGATCTTATATCTAGGATGATTGAAGAAGATGCTGATGGAACTGAAGATTCTGCTGGGGTAACTAAACTTGGATGTGCTACTTTAATTGTAGCATATACAAAACATCTTTTAAAACAGTATATGAAAGTTGACTGCTCTAAATACCAATGGTTTCAGGAAGGCTCCCAAGGTGATGGGGTAGATAGTCCAGTCACAGCAACTAACAAGATTAAGTCAACTGAAGAGTCTGAAAATGTGAAAAGATGCCTGCTGGACCAATTCTCTTCATCAAAGAATCTTAAGAAATCTAAAAATGCCCATGTGAAAGTAGAAAAAAATTGAGCTTGGTTTCTGTGTGATGGACAAAGTTTACTATCTTAGTTTTTTTTTTTATGGCCTTTTGGACTATTCAATTGGTAGCACTTTAAACAATGCTATAAATTTTCAGATGCTGTTTTTGTGATCCTATCAGTTAACTGCTTGAAACTAAAATGCTCATTTTCTTTCCTAAACTATACAAATTAGGAAATAATTGGCATAACACTTAACAATTTAACTATAAGTTTTCACGTAATCTCTTCTATTGGATTCAAATAACTTAAGGTATTTAGCACAAACTGAAAAGTAATATGACTAAACTATGAGTCAAGAAAAAGTTATGATTTGACGCACAAAAAGATATTTGGTTACTGAAATAAAGATTGAAAATGTTACTATAAGTCACTAAACCTTTTTTTTTTTCAAAAAATCTATATACAGACTAAGATGAAAATAGTCACTGAAACCTTTCCAATTCCATTGTGAATCTGAAAAAGCATAAAGTTTAATGCAAACATGGATTCAAGTCTTGACTTTACGACTATTTAAAGACACTCAAAACTGATTAAAGAAATAACTTACACAAATTTCACCATTATAGGCAACAATAGGAAACAATTTGAAGGCAATAAAGGTAAATTACTTACCCTTGGTCTTGATTAGCCTTCGTGTTATCCTCGAACCTTCATAGCTTCTCTCTGTTTTTTTATTCACAGACTCGCACAAAAAAATAAGATACAAAATAGAGAATTAGAAAATTTGGAAAAATCTACCGTGAGAATAAACTTATATTGCAGGATACACAAAAATTACCATAAAAAATAGATAGAGTAAATGTCCATTTAGATTTTTTTACATGATTCTTTTTTCTTTAGCACCGAAAAAAACATGCAATGGAAATTGAATAACAATCACAAAATGTGTGATTTAACAGAAAAAAATCTGTCATTATTGCAAAATATTTCAATATAGATAGTAGCATTTCAAATCCGAACAAAGAAGAAATCATTTAAAATTGCAGATCTGGAATGTAAAATGGAAAAATATAAAAATCATTAATTACAGCTTAGATCTACCAAAATTTAAGCAACACTCGAAAGATTTCATTGCATGCAGTGTTAATCAAAGTTATAAAACAACTGATTACAAATACTCATGAAGATTAAACTGATCTACAATTTTAACATGATGAACACTGCTAGATGAAGTAAATGAGAGAAAAATGGAATAATTTACCTAGAATTTGATAAACTTCATCTTCATGAAGGAATATAGAGAATGGTTTAGACCATTCTAGAGACGAAGTCTCTTCATCGGCCAATATACTTCCAGGCTGGAGAATAAAAGTCGACATCTTCTCTTCTGCAACTTCACATTTAAGAAAATAATAATAATAATAACAGACTATGACTCAAACACGTCTGGGTCATAGAAGATTAACAAGATCCATTTATGAAATGGAGTAAAATAGGAAGATCAGTGCACTTTCCACATCTAAAGTTGATGAAGAATTGGAAATTTCTGGAGCTTTAGAGAAATGTAGAAGGAAATGTGAAAGGCACGTGTAGAGATAGACAGAGGCACAGAGCAGGGCCGGGTATATTGGATGGGCTGATGGGTCCTCTATTTTGATCAAATGCAACTTAGAATGAAACCTTGGTAATATAAGGTCCATATGTATAAACTTGGCAAATTATGGTCCACACAATAATAATTGACTAAACATCTTACAATTAAGAATGAGTCTAAGTTTATACAATTATTATGGTCCACACAAGTTGTGTGGGTCATATTTTATATATTGTAAAATAATGTACATTCAATACAAAAATAATGTACATTCAGTATAAAATTAATGTACATTGTATTTAGGGGATGTACATTATTTTTGTACTGAGTGTACATTATATTGTATAATGTACATTCAGTACAAAAATAATGTACATTTAGTATATTAATTTGCCGTGTTTAGTGGTAATTTATATCGTGCACTACGGCACACATAGCAATGTGCGCCCAGGCACAAAACGCTGCCGTTTCAATTGCTGTTGACGGAGATTGACGTAACCAACGCCACTCCGTCCGTCCAAACCCTGTTATGCGTATTCAGTTTAAAGTTTATGTGTACTTTGTTAGAAGTTGATGTGTATCCTGTTAAGAGTTTATGTGTATTATGTTAAGAGTTCACGATCGATGTTTAGTAATAATTTTTTAGAAAATTGTTATTCTATATTTAATATTGTACCCTAAAAAACAGGTCAACGATGTATTTATGGTATTTTTCAAGGTTTACTATCTATTCCATTGAGCATGGATCATTTTGTAAGCAATGACTTTATTTATTTATGTATCCATTCTTTTTTAGACTAATTGGTAAACGCTCAAAGGATTTAGAAATTATAAGTTGTCAACAGTTTTTGAGATTGCTATTGTAATAATTGGTGATCTTGATTCAAACATTGGCAAGCGTGATATCTTGGTTGAAGCAACGTTAGAAAAACTTGAACGAATACGTGAATTGAACTCTGCATACTTGCCTTTGCAATATTCGATTTTGTATCCATATGGAGAGGATGGATATAGGTAGCATATAGTATGAAAAATAAAATTGTTTTAGTAAAGAAATAAAATTTGGTGCAGAATTTGATGTAATGCTATTCACACTCTTGGTTGCAGATTCTGAGGAGGCTGAGCCGAAATAACTCTTGGTTTTAATAATAACTTTTGACAGTTTGTTAAATTAAACTTTAATATCTAATCTAATCTAACTCTATAATAAAGCAAGAAGTTTTTGGCAAAAAATTTTCCCGCCCGCAGCAAACGATGCCTAAATAAATCAGACCGCATTTATTGATGTTCACATTGCATATCAGTATTCTAGGTAATTTATCTTGGAACATCACCCAATATTCAGAATAATAAATGCATCGAGAAGCCAACCTGCAATGCCTAACTGTACATCAGATTTGAATTTAAATTATTTGAACATAAGCATAATGAATGTAATCTTGGACTATGAAACATTTTGATCAGCCTCTCATGTTTCCAAGACAGTCTTCGAATTCGAAAAATACACTGTTCAGCCTCTATATAAAGCTCCCATGATAGCAATCTGCACTCCCAAGTTCGAACCACTTGCAAATACACAAAGAAAAAACAAAAAACAGCAGCGAAGATACCATGTCATCTCAGTAAACTGACTTGAACTTTCATATCTGTTGTTTTAAAGCTCACGGAAACAACAGTAGCCGTCAATTGATGTTTAGACCTAGGATGTAGACAACAGCCCGTGTTTACATAGACGATTTGGTGTAAAAAAATCCCGATTTCATCTACCGGGGTAGAGCACTGGTAAAATAGTTGTTTTTGGTGACGATTTCAAGCAAATTTTACCAGTCATTCCAAAGGGTACCAGACAGGATATAGTTCGAGCGAGCATTAGCTCATCATATCTCTGGAAATCCTGTAAAGTTTTAAGGCTTACTAAGAATCTACGATTGAGAAGTGTTCAATCAGAAAACGAGGGTAAGGAGATCGAGGAATTTGCAAAATGGATAGCTAATATAGGTGACAGAGTAATTGGTAGTCAATGTGATGGTGAGTCCGAGATTACTGTTCCAGAACATTTGTTGTTGAAGTGCGAGGATGACCCTATTGCTACAATTGTTGATAGCACATTCCCTAATTTTAGACTGGGAATTGGCGATTTGTCATATCTTAATGATAGTGCAATTTAGCTCCAACATTGGATGTGGTAGATGCCGTTAACCAATACATGAATGATCATAATCCGGCTGAGGGTAAGACATACTTGAGTTGTGATTCTGTGTGTAAGTCAGATTCAAATGTTGACATGTTAGCGGATTTGCACGCTCCGGAATTCTTGAATGCCTTGAGATGTTCTGGAGTACCAAATCATGCTTTGACTTTGAAAGTTGGATCACCTGTTATGCTATTGCGAAATATTGATCACACACTAGGATTATGCAACGGTACAAGGTTGATTGTTACAAGGTTAGCTGACCACGTGCTGGAAGGCCAGATCAAGTGCAGTACAAATGCAGGAACCAGAGTATTGATTCCTAGAATGTCACTTACACCGTCAGATCCAAGATTGCCTTTCAAATTTCAACGAAAGCAATTTCCTTTGATGCTATCCTATGCCATGACAATCAACAAAAGTCAAGGACAAACGCTTGCTAAAGTGGGGTTGTTGTTGAAAAAACCTGTCTTTAACCGTGGACAATTGTATGTAGCTGTTTCAAGAGTTAGTAACCCCAGGGGTTTGAAAATTTTGATTTGCGGGGAAAATGTACCATGTCTTAGTACGACTAAAAATGTTGTGTACAACGAAGTCTTCAATAATGTATAATAACATTCCACAATTTATTATTTAAAATTTAGTATTTTTTTTAAATACTATGTTTCTTATTCTTATTATATTATACGTAATATTCTATGTACTATATAGGTAGCCATGCATCACATTGTTTCAACAATGAAGTCTTAAATTCATCCCAAGTTTTTTCTGGTTCAAATACTCTATTTTCTATACTGTATATATATCATACTATATATAGCCGCTCATCCCGCGGGTGCACCTACTAGTAATCCTCTATAATAATAAAGCCAAACATTTTTGGTAAATAAAAAAAATCTGTTTTCTCGCCCATGGGAAACGACGGCGTTTTTCCTGGAACAGAACAACATTTTAAAGGTTAATGAAGAGAAGCTGACGTGCCGAATCAAAAACATATCATTTCAGGGTAGACGTGTAGGGGAGTGGGCTATTATCTGGCTGAGGAGTTAGTATCCAAACTTGCTTCTTGATAGGAAGCGTGTGCTTCTAAGCAACTGGGTATGGGAGTAACCTATTGTTGTCAGAGTCCCACTACATGGCTATGATTATTAGAGTCCCAGTACATCAGTTCCATGTTTATATATACATACATATTCAGAGACTTCACCCTCTGCAAACATAAAGCGAAAAAAAAATACAAGCTTCTGCAAAGAATGGAGAATTCATTGTTGGTGCGCAGCTTCCTCCTCAGCAGTCAGCAGACCGCGAAGGCAATGTGTGCGGAACTATGTTGTGACTGAAAAACACATTAGAAGTCAAAAGTGTCTTCCATGATCTAGAGGTGTGTTAATGCTACATTATCATCTTTTCTTTCTCTTTATAGATAAGCATTTTGTATATATATAGTGACATAAAAAAATTAATAGAGGGAGATATATATGTACATGTAAAGAGATAGTTGAACAAATTATAACAGAACATTACTATCCAAAAAAGGTGTCCATTGTATGTATCCCCTCTTTGTGGCTCTACCCAGACTGTCTAATTCCAGCAGTCTCCAGTATTGCCATGTTTTTTTGAGGATATCTACATACAAATAATAGACATTATATTCTGCTTTTAAATCTTAGATTGTAATGTTGAGGTAAATGAAAAAAAAAAAAAATTGAACTCACTGGAAATCTATTTTTTTTACATCTTCTGTTATCATATTTTTTAAAACATTTATTGATAAAAGTAATTAAAAACAGTTTCACATAATAACAGAAAAATATTATTTTAATTGATGTGCGAAAAGTAATGAACTCAGATTTCTTGCAAACAGTTAAATAAACCAATTTATAAATATTCATCCCATGTGAACTGAAATAAACTCAAAAAATTCTGACATATAAATTGAACACATGACATGCTAAATGTATACAGTTTAATAATAAACCTCATTTTTTACCACAGGAGGTGTGTTAATGCTACATTATCATCTTTTCCTTCTCTCTTGTTCTTCTTTTATTTTTACCAGCTCTTTATGTTATTTTGGTTGTGTTTTTGTATAGATATGTTAGTTATATTTGTTCTTATAAATTCTGTGTATACTAATTTTAAAACTCTTGAGTATATGGGTATATTTACAGCATAAACAAGGGGATATTTCACTTATATCTTTTCATATAGCGTAAAGACTGGAACAACAACCAAGTTCCCCCTCCTGCTTTTTTGATGAGGGTCAACAGTAAGCCTCTGGAACAACGACCAAGCTACCAAGCAAAGACCAATTTAAATGAAAAATAAGTCCACGTGAGCAGTTTACTGGCGCCATGTCATTGGGCAACAGGGAAACCTGCTAAAAAGTCTAGGCGAAATTTTTTTTATGGTTTATGTATCGAATCAGCACTTATGAAAGATCAATGTGTGGCATGAAGAATCGCTATTGGTTCAGGGTGCGGGATGACACTTCAGCCATTTTATTTGTATGTAGTTAGTGTGTACATTGATTTAGTGAATATAGCTGGTTTTTATTTATTTATTTATTTTTTTACATCCATTCAAATCTGGTCTATATTTTTCCACATATTTATTTCTGTGTTTTTTTGGTCAACAGTTAGGGGAGTATTGGGTGGCAGACTCCTTTATCATCACTTGCCTCTAATTTTAGATTTTTAGTAATTAGATTTTAAAATAGAATCAGGAGAAACAAATTATCTACATTATGCTTGAGTAGACTACAAGTTACACAATACCCAATCACACAACATTTTTACTTTCCCCCTAAAGCTAGCCCTACTAGCAAGCAATGATAATTGATAGTAAACATTGCATACCCTATAGTAATCCTTGATAGTGGATTTTGAGTTCTTTACATGGTGATATCTATATATGGCATTTAAGAGAGAAACATGTCTAATGTAAATTCATTTTGAAGGAAAAACTTTTCAAAGTGAATATAGATCATATTGCTATTGTCTAGACAGTTTTGAGTCAATATATTGATCTTTTTCAGTCCACCCTGACCTCATTGCGAACTCGAAACAGACAATAAACAAATGAAAGGGTTGAATGAGAGAGAGTGAGGGGAGGTTGCAACATACAAATGATTCAAGTCCTTGCTTGATGAAAATTGTAGGATGGGCAAAAAGAGGATCACTCTTCCGAAGCACATGAAAGCAATCAACCTTTTTCAATGGAGAAGGAAATAGGGGAGTTAACAATCAGCAGTGTTATAATAATAAAGTGCATTGGGAAGCAGAATTTTGGATTTAATACCAGTGTTTCCAAATAATATTTAGGAACATAGACGAAAATCGAATCAACTTCGCTAAGAATCAAAAACAGTTGTACGACCCACATGCAAGCTGCATACATTACTCTTTTGCTTCCACTGAGAAAACAGGAAAATGAGGTACCTGTAAGATGATAAATATCTAATCAAATTTTTATAAGAGGTTAGCCAAATGCTAAATACAGAAGCAGTCAAACAACCAACTATTCCAGCACTTCTATGGTTTTTTGGTAAAACACCAAACACTCAAACACATTAGTAATGTCTAAAATGAAGATTTTTCACCGTACAACAATATTTTGTAAATAATTTGAACAAACAGATAATTCACGCTTTGAGATGAAAAATCAAGATCTTCAGCATGAAGCTTTTGGTAAGCATGTAGGCAGAACGGGCAGAGGATAGACTATGCAAGCAAGGAACAGAAATTAACGTAAATTAATGCTCCGTATAGGTTACTTTAAGGATTTCGGAAGGCAGGTTGGGCAAAAACCCAGGCAAGTGTCAATATATCACATCATAAGGCAAATGTCAACCAACTAAATGAGAGCAAATACAATAAGAATATTTTATTACCAATATCAATGTCTGACACCCTCCATTACTTCTTCTCCATAGACACTGCGAGCCTCCTTCAAGCGCTTCACTTGCTCGCTCCCACATGCTCTTTCTCTGATTTGTTTGTCAGTTTCTTCAAGTGAAAAAACGACGCCAAAGAGGATGTGAAAAAAAGAAATTGACGCATGCAGATGAAGAATCATCTGGAAACAAAACGCTTCGACATTGCCGGAGAAAAAAAGGAAACAATGGGAAGAGGAAAGCGAGAAGGTGTGTAGCAAGGACTGTTATTTGATTTCTTACAGATCAGTTGTATCAAATGTTCAACCGATCGGTCACGAGTTGTGAGTCGATTAGATAGAAGCTCAGAGGTAATCGGTTATGAAAGGAAATGGCGAAAAAAATGACTTCGAGACAGATCAATTGAAGGAGAGGGGTTATAGATCGAGGAATGTATTTGTGTGAAGTTTCCAGAAATGTTAGATTGTAGAGAGAAAAGAGACAACCAAGAAGAGAGAAATCGGCAACAATGTCTGATTAGTGTAGGTATTTAGGCCTTATATACGTGGGCCGGGTCTTGATTTGGGCCGGCTAATGGGAGTGTGGATTGGTAGCAGAAATGGGCCGAATATATAAAAGACACAGCCAAGAAGAGAGAAATCCGCAAATTATGCTGTGCAACCGAATGCACCTTGCAAGGTGCATACGGTTGCAAAACGACGCCGTTTTGGTTAAAAAAACGCGCGTCCCACTTAAAGAATAAATCAGGTTCGATTCCCGGCAATAACAGTTTTATATATCCAGAAATTCATAACTATATATCCACAAATTCATAACTATATATCCACAGTGAATGAATGATGTAAAAATCCACAATGAATGAATGAATGAAGTAAAAATCCACAATGAATGAATGAAGTAAAAATTCACAATGAATGAACTAAATATCCACAATGAATGAACTAAATATCCACAATGATTGAACTAAATATCCACAATGAATGAACTAAATATCCATAAATTCATAACTATATATCCAGAAATTCATAACTATATATCCATAAATTCATAACTATATATCCGCAGTGAATGAATGAAGTAAATATCTACAATGAATGAACTAAATATCCACAATGAATGAACTAAATATCCATAAATTCATAACTATATATCCACAAATTTATAACTATATATCCAGAAATTTATAACTATATATCCACAATAATGCTATTGCCGATAATCGAACCTGATTTTTTTTTAAGTGGGGCGCGCGTTTTTAGTCAAAACTACGTCATTTTGCATCGTATGCACCATGCGCATGATACATTCGGTTACACAGCATAACTATTGAGAGAAATCGGCAACAATGTCTGATTAGTGTAGGTATTTAGGCCTTATATACGTGGGCCGGCTAATAGGAGTGTGGATTGGTAGCAGAAATGGGCCGAATATATAATACGTTTAGGTTGGCCCAGAATTATAGGGTGTTTATTTATTTAATTCAATATATTATATTTGAAAATTATATTATTCTATGATTTTTAACAATTTTTGTTGGGTTTATAGTGGAAATGTAAAATAAGAATGGTATGTTATTTTAATTATATCAGTTAATAAATTTTATTTATGCTGAATTGATGTAAAAAATATTATGATCCTCTATTGTTTGTTATGAAGGTCGTGGTCTACCTGGATTGCAATTTGCAAATGCAGAGACAATCATTTCTTGAAGTTATTACACATTCGTTATCTAGAGTACTGTTTGTTCATAATAATTGTACCTACAATTAAAATGTATATTACAGTTAATATATTTGTTTTTTCTCCGCTTTGTTGAAGAAATATATAATTATTCTCAAAAAATATTCATTGACCATAATGTTCGATCTTTTGTTTGCATAAACCATCTATTTTTACCCATGTTGTTCTTATGACTGCGCAAAAATTAGGGGGTATTTTAACATATATATATATATATATATATATATATATATATATATATATATATATATATATATATATATATATTGTCCGTGCATCGCACGGGACACTTACTAGTAATAATAATAATTGAAGTTAAGAATTATTGTTCTAGTAGAATTCAAATAATCTAATCTAATCTAATCTAATCTAACTCTATAATAAAGCAATAACTTCTTGCAATTTTTATTTTCCCGCCCATTCAATACTACGTCGTTTTATGTACATAGATATACACACGGATTACTGATCTGATTTTAAATGCTATTACATTACATTAGTGATGCTGAGGAGGTTTAGCCGAAATAATTAATAGTTTTTGTATTAAATTTCTCAGATTTGTATATTACCAATGTACACCCATAATGAAATCAGATTTAATTAATAGTGATGGAGATTCCCTAGGCCGCACTATTTAATTATACTACCACGCCTATTCAGTCTCCAATAAATATTTATAACAAATAATTAATGTCCGAATTTGAACTAAATATACATATTGAAATCATTATAAATACATGTACAATCACAGCTGCAATTGCAAGATTATATTGAGAGTGGTGGAAAATGGTGGAGATGTATATGGCACTTTGGAAAAACATTGACGAGCAGGAGGAAGTGTTGGGGAAAATTCGGATAGATTATGTCGTAGACCTGGGGCTACTATTTTTTATAGGCTGAGAATAGATGAATCCTGAAGGGATCGGTGACGTGTGCAAGACACTACCTTAAAAGCAAAAATTTCCCGGAGATGGTTGTAGTCTTACCGGTTGTTTTCGACCAGTTAACACCGAAGCTCAGGATTGCAGAAGAGAAGAAGAGAATTTGATGAGTGAATAGAACTGAGGAGAAGCAGGGTATTTATAGTATTGAAAATACCCGCCCCTCCCCTCTCAGCCATTCATGCTCCACGATTTTAGGAAGAGTTGTGGTGAAAATGTCCACAAGAATAGGAAGACTTGTTCCACCACAACTTAATGTGTGGATGGTAGATTTCTACACGAAATCTACCTCTAAAAAGGAAAAAACTCGGAATTAAAATAAAGCCCGAGTAAAACGCTGACCCCACCACACCGCGACGCGCGTGCGAATCGTGCCGTGCCTGGCGACGGCGGCGGCGCGCATGTGGGGTTCCCTTTCCTTCTCTCTCTACAATAGTTTAAGCCTTCCAAATGGGTTGGTATTAAAAAGGTGGGAATTAGTCCCTTATCCTTCCAATGTGGGACAAGAGTGTCTTCCTTCTACACACTTTAAACCATCATCTTGAATGTAATCTCCAACAATCCCCACACATTCAAAGTGGCAAAAAGAAGACGGAATTTCGGGCATGAGTGCTGATCTTAATGTCAGTGGTTGTACCTTGAACTGACACGTAGTGACTTGAGTAACTTTCTCCTTTGATAGTGAATGAGATCTTGAACTATCGAAAAAAGAGTTAGTTTTGAACTCAGTTCACACACCAGCAATCACCCTGTAAGTATATATAACTTGGTCTTTCTCGTAAGGTCAACTCTTTGACCTGATACCTATCTCTGAATAGGTGTGTTTAGCTTCCAGGTTTATATAACCTCGAAGTTTGCTCACTGTATCGCTATTAAGCCCATCTCCCTCGATGTTTCGAGGATGACTCTTTTGTTTAGCCCCTTCGTGAGAGGATCTGCAATGTTCTTTTCGGATTTCACATATTCTAGTGAAAGTACGCCACTTAGAATTAGTTGTCTCACAGACTCATGTCTGACTCGTATGTGTCTCCTCTTACCATTATAGGCACTATTTTTGGCTACGCATATCGCAGCTTGCGAGTCACAATGTATGGGCACTGACGGCGTAGAAGACCCCCACAATGGCACGTCTGCCAGTAGGTTTCTAAGCCACTCAGCCTCTTGCCCTGCTAGATCAAGAGCTATAAATTCAGCTTCCATCGTTGATCTGGCTATGCACGCCTGTTTCGTGGATTTCCACGATACTGCTGCTCCTCCCATGGTAAAAACATACCCGCTGGTGGAGCTCACCTCATCACTATCATTCACCCAATTCGCATCGCAATACCCCTCTAGGGACGCTGGGAAGCCAGAAAAGTGCAATCCCCAGTTCATCGTTCCCTTTAGATAGCGTAACACCCTCTTTAGTGCATTCATGGGTATCGCTGGGATTATGAGTGTATCGACTTAGTCGATTTACCGCAAGTGCAATATCAGGTCTGGTATAGTTCATTAAGAACATCAGACTCCCGATTATTTTCGCATATTCCTCTTGAGACACACTTGCCTCTGTGTTCTTCGAGAGTTTTTCACTTGGGTCATATGGAGTTTGCGCAGGGTTCACTTTAAAACTGTTAAACTTCTTTAGCAGTTTCTCTGTGTAGTGACCCTGTGATAACTTGTAGCCATCTTTCTCTTTGATGACTTTCACTCCAAGTATCACATCGGCTTCACCCATATCTTTCATATCAAACTTGTCACACAGAGACCTCTTTGTCTCTTTTATTGCATTTATATTTGAGCTAAAGATTAGCATATCATCTACATAAATGCAAATCAAGACAATGCTAGACTCAATCTCTTTCGAGTACAAACAAGCATCTGATCGGTTTACCGTGTATCCCAGATCTAACAGTGTTTTATGGAACTTCTCGTACCACTGTTTGGGAGCTTGCTTTAACCCATATAGGGATTTTACTAGTCTACATACCTTCCCTTCTTGCCCGGGGTTGGCGCATCCAGGAGGTTGAGACATGTAAATTTCTTCTTCTAGGTCTCCATTTAGGGAAGCTGTTTTTACATCCATTTGATGGACCAGCCACTTGTGAGAAGACGCTAGAGCAAACAATATGCGTATTGTGGCTATTTTCGTTACAGGGGAATAGGTGCAGAAGTAGTCTTCACCAAACTTCTGTTTATATCCCTTAGCCACAAGTCTTGCTTTGTACCTTTCAATCGACCCATCGGGTCTCATCTTCCTTTTGAAGATCCACTTACAGCCAATAGGTTTGGCTCCCTTCGGTAGGTCTACAACCTCCCAAGTGTGATTAGATTTGATTGAATCTAGCTCACTTTGTATTGCTTCTTTCCAGAAGACCGCATCGACTGAGCGCATAGCTGCCTCAAAGGATTTTGGTTCCTCCTCTAGAATTAACTAACACACAAACTGATCAGAAATTTCATTAATGTCATTTACTTCATGATATGAACCTAGTCCAAGGCTCAAATAAAGATGGAGATGGATCAAAATACCTTAACCTCACGAGAAACCCTTTGTCTCGAATCCTCAAAGACTTGGAAGAATCCCATGTAGCTTCAAGTACCTCAATGTTGCAATCTTCAATCAACTAGAGTCGGATCTAGTTTCCTTCGATTCAAGAACGAGTCCACGAACCTAAATCTAAGGTTGAAGAAAGTAAGATTGATTCGAGTCCACGAATCAATTTGCTAGTCGAGTCCACGACTAGCCACTAATTGAGTCCACAATTAGCCATAAGGTTTCTTACACAAGTGTAAAGAAAAACTTAAGAATTTTATTGAATTAAAGC